CGTCTTTGAATATCCCATTATCCACAGTTCATTGTGTTATTACGAGAGTCAGAGAATCTGTAAGGTCTCTGTGTGTGAAACAACTGAAAGTCCAGATTGAATCCTTGTGATCTTCAGGGTGCCAGTGGTCCATTATAGCTGTGGCCCTTTTTTACAGTTTTTGACAGACATGATTATATCATGGAAATCCCTGCACAGGCATCTGTGAACAGAGAATAAGAGGAACACATTCCTCTTCCAAAGGTCTGGCTGTTAGTCTCCTCTTTTCCCAAACCTTTACAAACTTTATTTAAAAGGTGAAGGGATGCTACCTAGCTAAAAATGTGGAGCAAACGTGGCTCTGGCCCAATTATTTTGGGATGCGTTGCTTTTTTTAAACTAAAGGAAGCTTATATGTTTCTTAAGTTGGTTAAATGTGCCACCAATTAATTTTTTTTCCATGTTCGTTAGTTAATATTAAACTTCTTCAAGAATTAGAGATAGCTGCATTGTGTTTTTGTGTTTTGTCATCAAATTGAGTTGCATGCATCAAGATTTAAAACGCTTTAAAAGGTGATTCTCTATCTCAGGATAGGATCTGACTTTCACATGTGGGGAAGTTTGCCATCTGATTATTGGATCTCGATCAGTGATGTACAAATTTAGCTGATCGCTCAAAGCCATCAATATGCGCTATTAAGCTTTTCCTAGCCACACCAGCTTGTCTTTGAACACGAGCGTTGGCATGCAGAGATGAAACCTAACCCTAACACAGCCCCCCCACCCTCCCCTCAGCCTGTGGTGTAATCAGCTGCATCCTGCTGCCTCTTGGAGGAAGGAATGTGACACAAACTGAAACACAAGTGACTCATTTCTGAAAATGAGTCAGAAAGCACTTTAAAAATCGCTCAGCCTTCGCTGTGTTATTCAATCCTAATTTGAAGGACAGTTTCATTTGGGTTCTTGTGTAATAATGGAATGCAAACAAACCATCGCAATGTCATGTCATTTAAAAAAGGCAGACGGCTTCCAATTACACAAAATCTTCCCCTTCTGTCGTACGTCCACACACAAAAACCCCAAAGACAAAGCTTTGATGAAAACCGAGCGATGGCTTTTGTGCTATTCAAATTTATTATTCAAATTGAATGCACATTGACTTTTCTGAGAGGGCTGGGAGGAACAGTTGACAACACACGAGCATTAATCTGATTAAGAGGACAATTTATTTGGGTTTCCGTGCTCAATAGAAGCCCTTCCTGCTCAGCACAAACCCTGCCAGCAGCGCAGACGAACCCAACCTCGATGAATGGCCAACAGCTGTGTATATAAAACCAGTATATTTCCTCTCATACAGGAGAAGAAAAAAAAAAGGAAAAAACACCCTGTTTCAGTTAAACATTGAGTCACGGCTCAAACGGAAACTTGCATGTGCGCTTTAATGTCATAAACAGGTTGTGTACCGAGTTGGAGACTTTTCTGTAAATAAGCCACTTGTTAACATGTCAGTGGAACCGAACATAAGTCGGGTTAAAACAGTGACATTTAGAATTGCTATTGGTATTATGTACTTCAGCTTCCTCCCAACTGAGATCCTCGTGTGGGCGATTCTGTTTCAGGTCAATTCCAAATCCGTTGGTTTTGGGAGACAAAGGTTTGGAGCCAAGGTGTTCTGCTCATGTGGAAATTTGTGCCGCTGATTGTGGCTCAGGAACAGAACCAGCCATAAATTACACCCATGCAATTTCCCTATTTTTACTCCGCATCTGTTTCTTACTAGACATGCCCACTAGACATGGATCTTTTTATTTATTTTTTACTGTAATATTTTAATAATAAGCAACATTAATGTAAGAAAAGCTCATCCAGCTTATTTGCCATAATGTGTTTATCAGCATAGGAATAAATGGTGCTGTCCTTAAAAGCAAAAAAAAAACAAAAAAACAAATTTATCACCGTTGGTTTCAGGACGAGAAATGCCAAGCTATAATATTGGCAGTAAAGACGTCTCCTCTAAACTGACAGCTCCCAAACCTCAGTTCATAAACCTGTCTGGAGGTTATGTGCACGCCTGAGACACACAGTCTGACGGCTTGGCCGGCTCAGGAGTGGAAAACGCTCTCCGCACAACCACATTCTCACCGTTGACGGTGCTTTTGAGAAAGCTCACGCACACGTTCGGGGACGGTTTGTCGGTTTACTGTGAAGCAACAATCAGACTCAGATCATTCAGCCGCTCCTTATTCGGGCCTGCCTTGGAGCGTGCTTGCTTTCCCATGACATTCCTTGAGAATTTGCTCATTATGCAAAGTAAAATGCAACAATATTGTCAAAGGATAATAAACAATTTGGTGTTTGTATTCCCTTTTAAACCTAAAAACCCCAGCTCTGCATCCAAGATTCCAAAAAGGCTGCGTCAGTGTAACCATAGTGCTGCAATTTGGATAAACGGCAGAGATGAAAGGCAAAATTTACGTTTTTACATGCCCTCTAGACTGCTTGCACATTTTTCTAAAAGCACCAATGTCTGGGTGTGTAATTACACACTAAATGCTGTTTTTTTTTTTGTGTGTGTGTTTTTTTTTCGTAAAGGAAGTGTGTGTCACTGCACAAACATTGCGTAAGGCACACCCCGTTTTTAGAGTCCCGGCTCAGACACTGCCAACGACACCGGTGCTATCGAACCAGTCAACCGCCTCCATCCGAGGCCCCCGGCTTCTCCCTCTCAACGTTAACCCTCGTCACTGATTTAATGTGCATGGGTTTTGAAGTTTTGAAGTTTCCATTCATAGAAAAACTTACAAAAGTAAGCCAGTTTTATATCCAGTTTTATATCCCACTCTAAGTTCTATACATGAGGGCCGATTTGAAGGTTTACAGGAGCATCTGACTGTCACGCAACATTTCAGAGGAAAACCCTTTTTTAAAACGCACTATTTCATATAAACAGACTTTTATCGAAAGCATATGGCCGTTTGAAATATCCTACCCCACTCTTTAGGATTAAACCGCACGTTGGTCTATAAAAAAAGAAATTGTTTAAAAAAAAAAAAAAACTAAAACGGGGCCGCGACATTAAAATTCGGCTTCAAGGAATCGGAAACAAGAGCAGTCTGAGAGTGCATATCTCACCCGAGGCTGACTGAAAGAAAATCCTGGTTCCGGACTCAAAAGTAAATCACTTCTAAGTTGGGCCTTGTCCCAGCTCTGGTAAAATGTTCATACAAATCTGTCTTCAACTTTTTTTAGTAATCCTACTGAAAAAACATGTTGAACAGACCACAGAACCACATAAAGAAACACACTGATCATATCTGAATTAATAAGGGACCATAATGAAACACATTTTAAGTCAGTCTAAGTATTAATGCTCAAGATTTTTTTTTCCAATAAAATGCATTTAAAATTTGTGTCATTACGTTAACTATTAAAATTGTTTGCCTAACTTAGATCTAATGGACTTTATTTGTATTTACATGCCTTATTTTGAACTTTTTTTTTCAAATTTTGCTGATGTAGGGTAAAACTGAGACTTTCTTTCTAAATAAAAAGAAACATCCACAAATTTAAAAAATAAGAAGAATCCGCTTCTTTGTTTGTAAATGAATTTCGCATTCCCGAGTCTCCCATTAATCATGTCTGAACCCCTGAGGTTTATCTGGTGACCTCTGGGTCTCGACGGACGGATTGGCTGAAGCGGAGGTGATCCCTCGATCGCGGCACCACAAAGAGGATTAAGAACACGTTGCGTTCACCCAAAACTCTACAGAATATCCACGTTTCGTTTGCCAGGAAACAATCGAGGAGGTTTTCCACCTGATTATTTGAGGGGATGTGAAGCCGCCCGACCTCTGTGAGGGAATGCCGAGTGTCATCACGGTTGGTTTGAGGGGGCTGGACGCCACCCCGGTGTCAGGGACACAGAGCAAAAAGACACAGGGTGTGATTTGTTAAATGACAGACAACCCCTTGCATTGTCTTGACAACATGGGGGACATCTGGCACAGGCAATGCGGCCCACTGTTGAGGTCTCCATCGGCTTTCTCGAGCGGTGAGCTGTGCAGCATTGAAGCACTGCCTGCACATTCTCATGCTAATGCTCCCGAAAGCGGGAGCAGATGTGAAACATTTGGTTCTGTTCTTGTTCACTTGTAAAGAAATAATGTGCCCCGCTATCATTATTTCACTTTTTGTTCCCCTACGTGTCATAAAAAAAAGAGGCTCGCGGGGCAGGCCGTCATCTTTGGTGGCCTGGCTGGAGCTGCCTGTGACCGGTTTCGGTGGCAGGAAGGGGCGAGGGATTGTGCAACACAAAACAAGCAGCTTCCACCACTCATTTGTAATAAGCAAATGTGTCGTGATGTCGGTTGGTGTGAACGTTTTTGCGTTTCTTCCTGCTCGGCCTTAACGTGAGTTTGTTTTCTGTCGTCGCGTCAAGCTTTATTTCAGGCATTGGACAAATAAAAATTAATAATAAAAGCATGGAAGAGTTAGCAGTTACTCTGGGGGTTGGTTTGGTTTCACCAGCTTTTAGTGATTTTCATTTTTTTCCCCTTTACACACTTTCATTTTGTGCTACCTCAGAGGTGGCAGGAGATGGCACACGGGCGTCCCCGCCCACCTGGAGCATCATTGGCTACTGTCGTCTCTCCTCGTTATCTTATTGGCCGTATCGGTGTCCATCAACAAACTTGATGTCTAAGACAAGTTTACAACTCCGCACACGTGCGTCCGGTGGGTCAGGGGCTGACAGGAGCATCCCACTCCCACCGTCAGAGACGGGGGGGGGCTCCACCTGAGAGCTTTAATGACCGTTCGCTTCCTAACAGCAGCGGACTTTGGGCGAACCTCTCCACACCTGCTCGGTTGTCATTTAAATTTTTTTGAATTTTTTTAATTGGAGTTTCGTTCCACTTCCACAGCCCATCCCTGTGGACGAGGGGGCTCATTCCCTCCAGTTTTCTTCATGGCGAGAAGACTCGGTGATGTCCGCCTAGCATGGCCGTCAGCCCGGGACCGGTATGGCTTTTAGCCGCATCCGCAGACTGGACCCCCCTCACGGTGGCATCTCCGGGGCAGCGGCGGTCATGCTGTGCTCCCTCCTCGCCTCCCTCATCCTCCTGCACCTCCTCAGCGAGCGCTGCGCCGAAGCCTCCCCTCACCGGGTCCCCTCGGAGGACTTGAGTCCGCCGAGGAGCGCAAAGAGACTCGGGTTCGAACGGGGCCCCGGGTCGGGGCTGCCGGGCTACGGGGCCGCCCGGCGCGCGACGCGGGCTCTGGGGGACGAGCACGCGCGGAGGGATCCGGAGCCTCGCGAGGAGTCCCTCGTCCCGCCGCCTCCGGATTCGGACGTTAATTCCAGGAGAGCGTCGCCCAGATTCGCCGGCAAAATAAGTCCGCTCGGAGAAGGGAGCAAGAAGCTACCCCAGGCTCTCATCGTCGGGGTGAAGAAGGGAGGGACGCGGGCTCTGCTGGAGTTTCTCCGGGTCCATCCCGATATCAGAGCCGTGGGAGCCGAGCCGCACTTCTTCGACCGCAACTACGAGAAGGGGCTGCAGTGGTACAGGTGAATACAGGGCAAAACAACCAGAACCGACATAAAATGTTTAAAAAAACCACGTTAAATTAACTGAATTAAACCAGCCTGCTCATTAACAGCATATAAAACTTTTTTTTAACACATATTTTTGCATAAACGTGCAATACTGCAGCTATTCATCAGAAAGTGCACCCTAAATGTAGAAGGGATATTAAAAACAAGGTAAAAAATGAATCCACTCATAAAATGTCTGCTTAGGTCTGCATATTGTTTATAGTAATAAATTGCCAGGATGATAAATTGTATTTATCCAACTTTTTATTTAGCCTCCTATTCATCACTGATAAAGACATGTCTGCTGGCCAGAAATCTTTATTTAACATCTCAGCGTGTAGAAGTAGCCTAATTGCTGCTGAAATAAGTGCTGTGGACAGCCTGTTGATTTATTAAAGCGACATCAGCCCTGCTTTCATTAGATGGTATCAGTCCACTCATTTTGTTTCACATTTAAGGGTTGACTGGCTTTGAGTCGCTTTGGTCAGGGCCGCAGTGGACTCCCAGTTGATTGGGCTGGGAAATAAAACACGGATAAATCGAAGCAGTTTCAATTTTTAAACATGTGCCACTTAACATTTTTAGATATGGTGTCATAGTTTCTGTGGAAATTCTTTTGAACGGATCGCTTCACTTGAATCGCATTTTTCTGCCTCAAACTCCAAAAAACATTCACGGTTTGTTTCATTTAGCCGCACAGACAGTTCATGGAGGTTCCCCCTGCTTCAAAAAGCCTGATAACCTACAGAAAAAAAAAAAAAATCAGAAAAAGAAGGTTTACTCACAAGTCCTGTCGGCTTTGACGGCGCTTAAAACAAAAACAGTAATAAATGTGGTTGTGATTTTTTAAATGACTTTCACTTTCAAACACTGAATGGGTTTTTAAGCCTCTGATCTCTTCCTTGATGTCTATCTCTTTGTGGAGGAGTATCCCGTCTTTTTTCTCTCCCGAGTCAACTTTATGATGGATTTCATCTGTCATTGTTAGAGCATGCAAGTGAGTGTTGCGTGTTCACATTTCCACCGGCCCGTGGGGAGTAATGGCTCTTCCTCTCTCTGGTTCTCTGTCTAATGGGGCATCGCCAGCATTCGAGCTCCATTATTAAGAAGGATTAGGGCCATAATGAAAGGTTACCTGAGTGTCTCAGGAGGTATAATTCACCTTTTGATTGAGTTAACACCACACACAGCAGCCTCTAAAAGAGCCTGGAGACAAAACTTTCCCTTTCGCTCACCAACAGCTCCCTTCAGGCCTTCCTCCCCCCCCCCTCCTCCCCCCCCGCTCCCCCAAACTCTCTGGCTTTCTCCCATCTCCCACTCACACACCACCCTTTTGTGCCTCTCTGAGAGTGAACATTCTCTTTTTGCCATCACTCTTTCACACCCTTCTGTTTACCTATTCATCCATTGTGGGGTTTTATATCCATGAGGGTCCCATCTATCCCAAAGAGTTGCCAAGATTCTCTGGAATTTGGACGGCGGCTTCAAGGACAGACCTCACTGCCGGCTCGCCTTAAAGCTGCCCATTTAGGACGGGAGGACCCTTGAGTCGGAAAAAGAGGAATAAATAACAGCTGAAGCCGCACGGCCCACTCGGCGGGAGTTCATCTTGTCAGCTCTCCTCCGCCACGTCTGAGAGTCCTCCTGTTGATAGCTTTTGTGCCTTCTGGAAGCTTTTGATTTGATTCGAAGTTGTTTGGTGGAGGTCATGCAGAGGTGTGTGTTTTTTTTGTTGTGTTTTTTTTTGCGCTTTTGCAGCGCTTGACAAAAAACCGGGAAATCAGCCCGATGGGGTTGTGCGAGTCAGTCAGTCCCTCGTGGGTCCCTTGCCGTGGGTCATTTTAAGGAGGCTTATAGGGGATGAGTGTGTCCACCGTTTAAAACCTGGAGTAATGTCCGAGCAATGCACTCTTAAACGTCAAGAGGCGTTAAAAAACAGGTTTGCCTTTTTGTTAACAGACTGGAATATCAGCTACTTTTTTTATACTGTCCAATTTTCTCACTTTGTATTGTTTCCTTGCACCATTAAATACGTAATGTGGTTTGCTTGCAGTAATTGTCACCATAAATCACTTCACTGAACATTTGAGCCAACAGTGAAGATTTTTTTTTATTATATTCTCAGCTCTCCCAGGATATTTTATATTAAGTGCTCTGAAAACGGGATTTCACATCCAAATTTCTGATCCCAAAACCTGGAAATCATACGATAAGTAACTTAAATCATGTCCAGAAATTGAGGTATTTTTTTGATGAAGTTTTTCTGCGTTGAAATATTTTAAAGTAGAACTTCTTTAAATAGGGAATTGAAAGTGAACGAATGGACAAAAGTCCTTAAAACCCAAAGGCGCGTTTCAGATCTCGAGTTCCGGCTTTTGATCACACGAAAACCAGCGCTAGCTGCCCGGTCGGTCAGTGTTCCATTTCAGCGCACATCAAACCGCCTAACCACACACAACAGACTCTGCTCGCGTGGAGGAAACGGACACTCGGAGTGAACAAGGAGGTCAAGCGCCAAGCGCTGGAGGAAGGCAGAGATCTGTGCCACAGAGTGGCCACCATTATGTTTCTGGCCTGCTCTGGTTACCGAACACCCAGGCTCCCACCTGTCCCCACCCCGCCGCTTCAGACCGGTCTCAAGGATCAGGCTTCACCTGATCCCCGAGTGGGTTAATCACGCTCCATAAAAACATGTGTGACCACACGCGTGTTTGTGCTGCCAAACACGGGGTGACGGACAGAGCGGAAAGTTGGAGGTTGTATCTTTAAACGCCAAATACATAAACAAACCGTTTCTGAAGCCCTTTTGCACGTCTTTAACATGATGTTGATCACTAAAAGCTTTCCATGAGAACAAATGAGAGAAATCACTCAATGAAAACAGGCTCTTTTGAGAGAAAGTCATGTTATGGTGGTTTAAAATTTAAAAAGTGGGGAGTTGTGTTTGTTCTCCTACATAGCTGATTAATTAACGCACTTCCCAAAAAAAAAAAAAAGGAACAAACATTGGTGCGTTGTTGGCTGCCTGGTTGTTCAGAGTTTGGAGGAGGATGTGAAAACTACTTCAAAGAAGGGGATGAGCGTACATGTGAAGGGTCCAGCCTCTTCGGTTGTGTGTCTCTTTGTACAGTTGACTTGTCGTGCTGGACTTTCTGCCTTCCAGGAACATTAACCGTAACGTGCATGTCCACTGAGTTTATTACGTGACTCACCCCAGCAGTCCGAGTGGAACAGAGACCCACTTGTGGGTCAGTTTGTACATCATTTGCACATATTTATGCAAACGGCGAGCCTCAGCCTGAGCACGCCAGGCAAACTTTGAACATTTCCTGGCTGTTTCTAAGTGTAGCCGGGCCATAAAGCCCAAAAATGTGCCTTCGAGTTTTAATTAGAGCTGACAGTTGTTTGGTTCACATCACCGGCTCCTTTTGCAGCACAGCTCGCTGTCAAATGAGCCTAAAGCCTGAAAACTGCCGGGCGGGTTGTCTGGGCTGTTTAAAAAATGCATCTCCGCGGTCTCTTTATGGAGGTGTTGAAAGGAGCAATTTGTTGATAATTTCTCCGCGGGACAGTCAAGATCTAAAAAAAAAAAACAGGTTTCAGTCATTTCTTCTAATTGAACCTGAGCTTGATTTATTCAGTTTTGACACCTGGAAATTCAAAAGCATGAATAAGATACTCTCAAAGCTCCCTAAAATAGCATTCGGTGGTCATTTTCTGCTGTAGCTTGACAGCTTTGTCCTGAAGCTTAATGTAGGAAAAAGATCCTTTACATGAAAGTTGCAGATTTCAGTTTGAGAGTGAAATCTCCTCTCTAAAGCAAATCCAACTTTATCAGACTGACTTTACAAGCAAAGAGATAACGTTTGCATATGAAAGTCCGTTTTCTGGCTTTAAGTAGAAGTGAAGCTCCATCGGCAGAAGTGGGCGTCGGATTGGCCCAGATTGGCCATAAGGGTCGGCTTGTCCATGGCAGGTGGAGAGGAGGGGACGGGTGAAGGTGGAGGGGTCGTGACCCAGGTGGCGGAGGGCACACACACACACACACACTCTCACACACAGCAGATGTAACCTGATCGCCACAGGCCTTTCCGAGCGTGAGCCGCCTCGGGATTGTGAAAGTGATTATGGCCGGGTATGAAAGCGCTCACCTACCGCTGAAGGCACGCAGCCCCTCTCTTCCTCCTCACCCCCCCCC